AAGGGAAAATTTTATCGGACTGCAGTAAGACCTGCGATGTTGTATGGAACAGAATGTTGGGCGCTTAAGAACCAACACGAGAATAAAGTGTAGCAAGGATAAGGATGTTGTGTTGGATGTGTGGTAAGACTAGACAAGACAAGGTTAAAAATGACAAGATTAGAGAGAGTGTTGGGGTAGCATCTATAGTAGAAAAAATGGTGGAAAATAGACTTTGGTGGTTTCATAACTAAATAGTCCTCCATGTAAACATCATACGGCCTCTGCTTTATGCTAGAATTATCTTTTTGTTCTTTAAAACTGTATTATTATAAACGAACAGAAACTGATCATGCTTTTACCTTGTGTTTTAACAAGTCTGTTCCATTTTATATAAGAGTGAGGGAGTGTGCTGTTTCAAAAGTCCACTTCATAATTTTGCATGCCATTGAAGTTAATTGTTCAGTGCAGTTTTTTTGAGCAAAATGAGTGGTTTTGGATTGATGTATTTAAATTGTGGAATATGTCACGCTAACTCAATTCATAAATATCTTATGCTGATCCGTTTTCTGTGCATACGTTGTGCGACAGTAACCGTGCTGCAGCATTGCTGCAATTGGATAAGCTTAACAAAGCTCTCGATGATGCTGACATGACTATTAAATTAAAACCCCAATGGGAAAAGGTACAATGTTTTTTTTCAATTTTTCTTGATGTTAGTGTTTGAACCCTTAAAAATACACTAATAAGTGATTCTACTTGAATACACATCCAGGGACATTTCCGAAGAGGATGCATATTGGAGGCCTTGAAACGATATGATGATGTAAGCATTTTATAATATAATTGACATCTGTCTTTTTTCTGAACTATTGATCAATGTTGTCAAACAGCGGCTGTAGCATAGCTGATTTTGAACAAATCACTATTGTTCCGAGATAGGCTATTTAGTACAAAGTGTTTTCAAACAGCACCTATAGCACTGTAGTGTAGCCGAATTTGAACAAGCCACTATTTTATGTGATTCCCGATTGACAATACTGCCTTTGTTTGAAAGCTTGGTATCCTGCTAAATTTTGGATTTTTTATTCTGATACATCTCTTGTGTAAATATTTGTAGGCATTAGCTTCCTTTCAGATAGCTTCGCAGTATAACCCACAAAGTCAAGAAGTATCAAAAAAGATAAAGAGGATAAACCAACTAGCGAAAGATAGCAAGCGAGCTCAAGAAGTGGAGAATATGAGATCAAATGTTGACATGGCCAAACATTTAGATACATTGAAACATGAATTGGTTAGTACAATTGCTGTGGTGAATAATGCTAAGAACACACACATCCCAACACATTCTTCTATTGGTTGAATTCATAAGGGACGCCAAAATTATATTCATATAACTTTGGCGGGGCCCTTGTGTATTTTAACTATGTCTGTGTTGCTAGCAATCCTTTTGTTCCAGTTATATTCCTAATAGTGCTCAACTAGTATGTGCTCTATAAGCTTATATTTTTTTATTAATTATTATTTATTATTAAAGTATATTACGTAGAAAGTGTATAGGAGAAAGGGTTGAAGATAATTCAGGCACAAGTTTTATGCTTAAATGAAAGTCTAAAGTATGAAGTTCGTACATAGCTGCTATCTTGCTTGGTAACGAACAATCCTAGATTACTTAAAGCTCCAAGTAACCGAAACTATACAAATATTACCTTAACGACACTCAGACTAGTGATAAATTAATACCTATACAACAACAACAACAACAACAACCAAATCTTATCCCACTAGGGGGAGTTGGCTATATGGATCAATTGAATTGACACTATAATCTCTATCATATAGTCACATCTTTATCCAAAACAATTGACTTCTAGGTCTTTCGTGATGCTTTCTCATTTAGTTTTCCTTGGTGTTCTACACATGGCAACTGAGCTACTCTCCATATGATCTATTTTCCTTATTGCGACATCTACTAGTCTCCTCCACACATGCCTAAACTACTACTCTAGATTCAACCATATTTTCTACTCTTAACACTGTCTCTCTAATACTATTATTCCTAGTCCTATCCCATCTAGTTTTTCTATTTTCCACACACTCAGTGTAGCATTCGCATCTCAGTGTAGCATTCACATCTCTGCTACACCAAGTTTACTCCCGTGTTGACATTTTATTGCCCAACTCACTGTACTCCTAGACAACATTGATGTTCTTATAGTTGTTCAATAAAAATATCCCTTTAGTTTGACCAGTACCTCTTTACCCCAAAAAACCCTTGAGACTCTCCCCTTTCATCCACCCCGCTTGAATCCGATTTTTTTTTGCAACTCTTTCTATTTCCCTGATGTTTTGTACAATGGACCCAAGATAAATATGTCACTCGAGGTATGGTATGGTCTCTGTCTCTAACTTTCACCTCTAAACTAGGTGTGCTAAACCCTAAACTTGCTTTTCTAGTTTTTAAGTGTTGCAACAGAGGAAAACTCACATTAAAAGCTTCAGGGTGACCAATATACTGTCTTTTCTTTGCCTCCCCAAAATTCGAATCCAGCACCTCATTTTTAGAGTTCTCAAGTAAAGGGCTTGCTACTAACTCAACCTGGCTCATCGCATAGGAATTCTTAAAGTAAGGTTCTGGGTTCAAATCACAGGGGCAAAGAAAATAACAAATACAGAACTGTATTAAGAGTTGAGAAAGGAGTGTAACATTAAGAAACAGAAAGTATATCAACACATTCAGAACTGAACAGTGCATTCATTCATCTAAATTCAACATTGAAGACTGAATTCTCAAAAACAGGAAAAAGATCTAAAAACAAAATGTCAAAAATATGTCATTCATTTTTATGTAGTTTGGTTTCTGAGTTGTTCTGTTTTATGTGCTTCCTTTAACTTTGTTTGTCGTGACTTATATTGTAATTTAAGGTGATTATAGATTCACTTATCTGTATGCTAATATATATCATTTTAAAATTGTTCAAAGTGATGATTGAAATGATCCCCCCTTGCAGTCTGAAAAGTATGGATCTGAAGAAAACTGGAAAGACAAGTTCTCGTTCCTTGTTGAGACCATGGAAACTGCTGTAAAATCATGGCATGAAACTTCTTCAGTGGATGCTAGAGTTTACTTTCTCCCTGACAAAGAAAAGACACAGACCGATAAATATCCCCCTATTGTGAACATTGATAAGGTATATATTTTCATATTAAACTTTCAAATAGTCCTCATTGTGGTTTACTAGGTTTTTGTCGCAGTTTCCTTTATATTCTTCAATATCTTGGCTTATAACTATCAAGAGAAGCTCAACCAAGTTCCCTCATGGTATTTTGATTTTTAATATTGCATCTTATTTCATTTCCAGGCGTTTGAAACACCAGAAACACACAGCAGCTGCTTTTCATTTCTTAGGCAGTATGCCGAGGAGTCTTTCTCCAAAGCAGCCTGCTTAGTGACTGCTAAAAACATCATTGCTTATCCACAGGTAACTTTTGATTTCTTAATGCATTAAATATGTGTAAATATCTTATAGAACACACTATAGATTGTTGAAATTCCACAATTAATCGGAAAAATCATTTGGAGGTCATGCTTTTTCGAATAAGTGTGTGGTTCAAATGGACTGTTTGTCCTTTCGTTCAGTTAGAATTGCAACTGATCAACAACACAAACCTCTTAAATGACATTATGTGTCTGCAGGTCTGGAAAGGCCAAGGATCAAGGAAATGGAAACATGCACAGAATGATGGTTTCTTTGTTCAGTTTGAGTCTCCTTCCGTGAGAAAATTGTGGTTTATTCCCAGCTCGAATGAGAAGGGACAGACACTGTGCAGGTTTCTCTCCTGCCCTTTTTGCATGCACTTGTTTACTATATGATTTTTATACTTTATTGGTTTCTACAATCAGCTTTATTTTCAATGCCTACTTATAGATCCTAAAATGTACATATAGGAGAAACTTCAGAAGTTTTCATTTCTTTTTTCTCTGAACAATTAGTATGTGAATTTTGCTGTTATGAACTTATTTGCTTAGTGCGCTCCCTGTACTCAACATTTGATTGCACAAACTTAGTCCGAGACTGTATACTTTGCTATTTTCAGGGATCCAGAAGTTTTGGACATTGGTTCTCATGAAGTCGTTCCTCGCTTGTTCAAAGAAAAGACATCCCGTTCTTAATGTACTTAAATCATTTTTGGCGAATATTTATAAAAATGATAGCCTCACAGGAAGTTTCAGTGCTTATGTTTTTGTGTCTCCTTGGAATGTAACATATTGCTTACGAGACATGCTTCATATTTTTGTTTTATTCATTTGTTTTTGAAACTATCCAAGCTTTCAATGAGTAACATTTTTTTGGCAATTATAGTCATTGTTTGATTGCTCATATTCTATTTCGGTGTTGTGGAGATTGGACAATTGTTTGTTTATCATTGCTGAGGCAAGTTTGGAAGCAGTAGATATAGATTGTGTTTGTATCTGAATTCTGTGGTTATGTTCTATTTGGATCAATAAAAAAATGAAATGCAGTGGAATTTTTGTAGCATTTATTTTAATTAATACTGTATTGAAAATTGAGAATAATATTTCTTTTAGAATATTTCATTTGTTAAGTTTAAGTGACTATTGTCTGCAAATTATAGTTCCACTGACGTAAATTATGAGAGTTGATATTGCTAAGTTTGATGATAACATCAGAGTTTGAATCATAACTCATGGTGTGTATGTGAGTTTTTAGTGATTATGATCACTTCGCTTATTGATAAAGTTAGTTAAAGTGACACTCATTTAGTTCATAAGCTTTTTAGATGTTTTCTCACATGGTAATTCACAATTCATAGAAGAAGAAACTAATCAAAAACTGGAACTACAATTAAATCCCTTGCAAGAACTCAAGAATTTTGAGGACAAGACTGTTCTTTGCTTAAAGTGTAAAAGGAGAAGGACTCTGCAGAAAAACTCTACATTTTTTGGAGTTCCTGTAAAATAGATCTACCCTTTGTTTTACTGGAAGGTGCATTGTCGTTTATCGGTAGCTTGGTCCATGAGGCTGCAGCCAAAACAAGCATCGATGAAACCTCGTCAGATATATTGTAGTATTACTAAAGAAATGAGTAAACATATAATATGATAAAGTTAAGTAGAGTACTCACATTATATGAAACAAGAGATCTGCAATAGTTAGAGTTTGTTAGTACTGTACTTGTAGAGCCACACTCATTGTCATTGAGTGAGGACGAGGACTTATCAAGCTTTACAGACCATGGATATTGATAGTTTTGTGCAGTGGAACCAACATGTGAAGATGATCTCAACATCCTCACTGGCCTTGGAACATTTCTTCCTTCCACAGATGCTCTTCGCCGACTCGGTTGCCTTTCGTACGAGTCCGGCCTTTGTTTCGGTGCACTCTGTGATCTTACTTTAGCTCTTGATGATTCTGTGTTAGCCATGTAATTTGGAAATAATGGATACTCATTGGACATGGATTCTTCATAGGATTGTCTAGTGAAAGAGAAAGGAAGCTTTGAATCATCTGCTCTTGAAACTGCTGAGTAATAATAGGGACTGTTCTGTGCTGTACTGAAGTAACCGTCCTCGAAATATCCACTGCATGCTTTTGGACTTGAATCGGTTCGTGCGGATGGTGTAGGTGATACTTTGTAGTTTTCTTTCTTTGAGTATGAAGCATTTGGTGAATAATATGCTGAATGTCTATGTTCAGAGAATCCATGGTGTTCATGATTTGTAGTGTTGTTTCTGTTTCTTAAGTTACCTTTGGATTCACAAACATCCATCTCTACTGTCTTTATATTCTCTTCTAACCCTCTTTCCATTTCCTAGATGAACAAAAATCACATTGAACATTAATGAAAAGAATAACAATCTAGTGTTCTATATCTCAGACACTTCAGACAAAAGGTGTATCTGGTGTCTGACAACATATGTCATTTTATTTTTCTATAATACAAAGTCTCTTGATTAGATTTTTTTTTTTTTTTAGAAAATCTTGATATCCGGCCTTGTGACCGACTAATCTAAGAGAGACTAATTCCACCGTCCACTAGCGGGGGACCCATTTAAAACAAGAACAAAATTCTGTATGGCCTAACACAAAGACTGTTAGCACCTAGCAGAAGTCGAACTCCTGAGAGAGACACACTCTTAATTAGATTGTAAAGACCAAATTCTATCATTCCTTAAACAACTGACTAACCATAATTTCTTTGGACACCAAATCAGAAAAATTCAATCTAAAATATGAAAGATAGTTAGCAGCAGAATTGAACTTACATTATACATTTGCATGAATAAGCTCTCCTCTGTGGCATTTCTGTAGGTTGCATGCTTTTGATTAGCCTTTTCTTCTGATAACATTCTAGCCCTTTGAGCACAGGCTCTTGCTTGTGCTAAGACCAAAGCTTGCATACATCTTAGTGTTTCAGTTGCTTGTTTTCTCACTAAATGACCTCTTACTAGTGCTTGCAGCTTCACTATTCCTCTAAGAGCACACAATGCCTTTCTCGCCTGATATAAAAACAACGAAATTGTTGATGAGTAAAATATGACCCAAATATATGTTTATAAGCGGGACAGTACTACTAGACAATTTAGTTTTGTAAAGTTGAGATAAGTCCAACTCAAATTTTAAGATATATTATAACTTATCAAAGATACGTCGGGCCACATCTGTCGAGTCACCTACTATTAGGCCACCCAGGTCATGCTCCAGACGTCAAATCTTGAGCGTGAGTGTATTAGATTAACAAAGTCTCACGTCAAATGAAATATGACATGAAAATATGTTTATGAGTGGTGGCTAGTTCTTACCTGTAGACTCATATTCTAAAAGAAACATATTTCACATATTCAGAAACATACCAATATACTAGTCCATGAGAATAAAATGAAACAGAAAACTAACTTCTGATGATGTTACATACCAAGTAAGATCTAAAGACAGATTGAATTTTAATAGCAGAAGCCACTTCAATACTCTTTCTAGTTCCTCCATTGGAACAAGAACTCAAGAAGACCACACCATCAGCAGCAGCAACATCCATGACATGCTTCCTCTGATAATTCTGCGAATCCATGACAGTTTGTAAATTCACTGAAGAAGTGACACTTGATTCTGCAACATGAACTTCCTTGGAAGCTGATAATCTTCTGAAACTCCATCTTCTCTTCTCCTTCGGCGTCCCTGAGTTTGGAGTAGTTGGATTTTCTGTTCCATTTCCACAATCTTCCTTCTCTTTTTCTTTGCCTTTCATCCCTTTCAAAAGATTCCTAATCCATTTGCTTGTCTTCCCCATCACTGTCAAAACATGCATAGTATCAACATTCAACAAGTCACAAGAAAACAACCAAATGAAGGGTAGATCTCTTTCATATCTATCTGTATTTGATAAATTTCTTTCAATACTATGGTCCCCAATGTTAAATATAGCCAAGTTTCATTAACATGTGTGGTACATATGTTAGATACTTGAATCCTTACTCACTCAATGCAAATAAGTATTTATTTTAGAGTCTAATTCATCGCTACAAAACTAATTTATAAAGTGAAGACTCTCTCATGTTCTGATTATATATTTTCCAATATAAGACTTTTAACCTATATACCTTAAGACAAAGGTTAGACGTGAGATACTTTATATATAAGAGATGGTTAGAGATATTTGATGCTTTCGGATGTGAATGCGGAGAACTGTTAGATAATATCTAACGGTGGATAATCATCTTTGATATATATTGAGTGCGGGTCTCAATATATTGAGTGCAATGTAGCTTTTATACTTTATGACGTTGGATTGATAAATGAGCCTTCGGCCAGCTCGGAACAATAACTAACTATTAACTAACAATTTGAGAAGGATGTTTGGGGGGCCATATATAATGTTGTTAGGTAAAGGACTTAAGGCTGTTTGTTTGAGTTAGAAGAAGCATAGAAGGAACTCTCCATGATAAGGGTATTACCACATTCGGGAACATTACATACACATGTCCAATGTTGTGGTCAAGGGTGTTTTGGTGATTTCAATTGATGGTTAACGTGAAATGAGTTAGATCAGAGAACATGTGAGAAATGCTTCAACAACTAGCAGAATCCTTCTAAAATACTCATGTTTAGGTGTGACAGCTGGACTCTTGTGGGACCCACTTTCGCCATAGAAAAGTACTCACAAGACCTTTTGTGATTCGGACCAGTATTAAGTGTTGTCACTGTTTATTTAATTTTTATATTCATAAACTAATTTTTTATAATAACAATTTATAAACTATAACTTATATAGAAATAATTTAAAAGCTAATAAGTGTTTAATTAAATAGACCCTAAGGTCTATATGGAGAAGTAACACAAGTTTGCTTTTAGATTTCCAACAACCATAGCTGTGCGGATTAAAGAGCTTTTATGTTTTGCTACAAATTTCCTTGGACATTGTTGCTCACTCACATTGAAGAACTATACCAACTTTTTTATGTTATTTATGTCCTTTTTAAATCACATAAAAGGTCTAAAACTTAAGTGCTCACGAAAGTGATTTTAGTATAGCTATGTTTTTATATTTGACCCACTTACACGTTTTAAATCAAAAAATAGTTTATAGCTAACTATTGATATCTAATAGTTTATCGTTAATTTTATAAAAAATTATATTATTAAACATACTCCTAGTGTGTATAAATTCTGTCCCTTGTTTGTGACTATGCTGGTTGTAAGTGAGGGCCACGACATGAAAGATCTTAAATAGCTAGATTTGTTAGCTGAGAAGTGACGGCATTTACTCCGTCGAAAACAAAAACAAAGTACACGAAAGACAAATATTAAGTCACATTTATGCTAGTGGATGGATTTTTCAACTTCTGGAAAGTGATGAAAGAAATTGAAAAATGAGAAAACTAGAATACCTAGCTAGCTAGGGGTTCCATCAAGGATTATCTATTTTTAAAAATAAATCTTAAAAAATTTAAATGTAAGCAAATTATAATCGATGAACTATAGTTGTTCTTATTTTTATATCAAAGTTAATTAAAATAATATTAATTTTAACTAAATTATAATTGATATTAATTTTTTGTATAAAAAATACATTTATTAAAATATTTTATAAATGATATTATTAAGTTAATTTGTTATTATAAAATTGTTATATTATTAAAATAATTTAATGTATTAATAAAAAATTTCAAAAACACAAAAAGAATACGCATTAATACTAAGATAAGAAAAGAAAAATGATTATCTAGTAATTTTCCTAGCAATTGATTTTTTAAAGATTGTTATTGTTGGCGCAATAATTGCGGGACATTCCTTTGAGCAATATATTTAATGCTCAAGTCATCACATTTCTATTTAATGTGAGATTATTTTTTTATACTACTCACATTTAAAAGGCTCGTGATATTATTTGTTGGCGCGACAATCAGGAGGTCAAGCAAAGAGTTGTCGCGGCGGGAAAATTTGAGATTAAATTATTGATTAACTTAACTAAGAAAAAGTAAAAGTCGCCACTGAACTTTATTATTTTCAAAGAAAAATAGAAAAGGTCGAACAAAATCCACAAAAAGTCTTAAAACAAAATTAATAAAAGAGAAATCTGGAATATAAAAAGATCAAAAATATTTTATAATACTATAATTTATTTTTAAGACAAAAATACCAAAAATATTTTTCTTAAACTTAATTTATTTTTTAACCAATTAATAGATTTAGGGTTTTATTTAAAATCTTATCTTAGTAAATTTAGGTTTTACTTTTAATTAACTATTTTCTTCTAGTTAATTAGGTTAAAGTCAAAACCCATTTTCTCTAAAAAAATCTAAACAAATATCCATTTACATTCTTGCATATTTATTCATCTTGTACATTATTTATTTCAATTCTTGTATAATTTCAATATGGTTGTAATAGATAATTAGGTTTTAAATTCTTGCAATCCCCATTTATACTTTGTACACCCCCCTCCCACAAGTATTGTAATAGCGTAGTAACTTTAAATTCCGTAATTTATCGTTTTATATATAACATGCTAGTAATTAGGGTTTGTATGGAAAGACTAAAACCAATACTTAGAAAACCTTAATTCAAGAGAAAATCAAGCATTAAAACAATACACTTGCACACAAGCACCCCTAGGATAAATCTACTTGGTTGCCTTTACAAAATGACCATATTACGCATGTGAGGTATCTTAGCAAAAACCAGTAGTTGGTTATACAAATAGAAAGTATTAGCACCCCTCACATCTATGGTACTTCACAGGAACCTCTTGAAAATTTCTGTTATAAAAAAAGAGTTGTTTGCAAAAAGATTGATGGGATGAAAAAAGAAGTCATTTTTATGGTTTTTTGTTTGACAAGACTTCAAGAGCCTCGTACCTATGTATCAATCAAGTGCAATGAATCAAAATTTCGTAGTTCGTGGTAAAAATAACAAAAGTTTGTTTGTTTTGGTTTATTTTAAATACAGAGACATGTTGTCGTATTTGAGTGAAAAACTCACTTACCACCCACAATTATGAGAAATGAGCATTTACATCATCTTGATATGGAGAATTTTGCTTGGATTTAATCAACAAGACAATTCTCAACATTCAAGTGGAAAATATCAATAACTTCACAACATATTGTAGAAGTATAGTAGTTTGCATCACTACAAGAATCAATTAATGTCCAATCTTTGAGAAAAAGATTTAAAAAGGAATAGTGCACAAAGGACACAAAAGATTTTAATGAGTTAGGTGTTTTTTAGTTTTTTGAAATAATTTTGATATGCTTAAGATGTCTTATCATTTATTAGGAAAAATGTTTTGAAAATCACTGGACAAAATCAAGGTTTATTGAGAAAGAGATTTCAAGTTTGAAAACAAGAAGTTTTTAAAATAGGGAGAAGATTTTGAAAATTAAAGAAGGGGAGGAGATGAAGAGACTATCCTAAAGCATAAAAGTAAATTACAGTAAATAAATCGTCTCATTGTAAGGTACTCCAAGAGAAAGCCTTTGTGTGTGCAAGTGAACTAACCACAAGAAGAGTAAGTATTTGACATTGGTCAAGATGAAGCATCCCTTTTACTCTGGATTTAAGCCACAAAACAAGCAAGCAAGATCCAGATAGAATCAAAAGCATCAGATGAAATCCAAGGCATCAGATGAAAATCCCAAACATCAGATGAAAACCAAGATATTAGATAACAACCCATGCATCAAATGAAATATAAAACACCAGATAAACCCAAAGGTCTCAAATGAATTCCCTAGGTCTTAGATACATGGTTCAGATGAATCTCAAGGTATCAGATTAAAATCCAATCTGGGGATATATCCTAACTCCAAAAGTCCAATCTCCTCAAACAAGAGATAATAACCAATAGTCCAAATGATCAGAGCCAAGTTTTTTTTATAAAGATTTTGCCTTTACTGATGTCTTTCGATGAAAAAAAAAGCCCAGGGGGCAAAAGGAAAAAGATATAAAATAAATGACATAATAGTAAAATAACATGAAATGTAAATGACATGAAATATAAAGTGCTTGAAATTAAGTTGCATTAATATAAAGGGCAATAAATTAAATAATATTAATGTAAAAGTATGGAAATATAAAGTTAGCACAACTAATATGATTAATGTTAGTAGTTAGTATTCCGAGTCGGGACAAATGTAGCGCTATGTTAAGCAATTGTAAGTGAACTTATCTAGAAGTTGCACCTATATGAGGCCGGTCAATAGTAGTTTATGTGTCATGTATGTTAGAGAAATGATAGAGATCATCATCCTAAAACAATACAACACAAGTTAAAACAAAAACAAAGTGATCAAGCACACACGCAAGGAAATGAGATCACTACTTCAATCAAAATTTTCATGATACCTTGAGACAAAATTATCACCAATCCAAAGTACCAAAAATAATCAAATGTTCATTATTTAATGGTAGATTTGAAATGATGAAAGTTCACCAAGCATCAATCCAAACCTAATTAAACAAGATGAATCCATCATCGTCCAATTGATCTAAATAAAAGAAGAAAGAGATGAGCAACCAAACTGAATCACAATATTAGGTTAAATTATCATCAATATGAACCACCACTTTTGGTGCATCAATGGGATAAACCTATCATCAATCCAAAGTACCAAAAATGATCCAAATGACCATTTAATGATATGTTTGAATTGATGAAGATTTATGCAAACAACGTATCACCCAAAATCCATTGATATTAATGAAGCAATTGATCAAACAAGTCACATTCCAAGTCAACAGCAGTCAAATTAATATTAAATGACAAAAATAAAATACATAAAAAATATT